GGTATGGCAAGAAGAACTATCTAAATATGTAATATATGAAGGAATATTCGATATTTCAAGAAACAGCACAGGATTTTTTATTTATATTTATGTTGTCAAAAGCCATGTCGCAATCCTGTAATGTCCGCAACACGGACATAATTCGATTTTACAGTCACACTATAATATTTTTTTTCATTTTTTTAATACAGACTTAAACTTCAGTCTGTAAGCAATAATTGACCAAAAAATAAAATGTTTCCCTTCAGTGGTTTACTAGATATAGAATTTTAAATTCTCTTAAATGTAATGTCCGCAACAAAAAAATACTGTGGAATGCCCCGAAACTTGTATTTCTATTGTTATCTTCTCTATGTCTCTATGAAGGGCGTTTACAGTTAAAGTTCTGGATTTTAGGGCGATGTTTTCGTGCTTCAAATCAATCATTTGATCATTTAAGAACGTATAGGAATAGACATAATATACAACGAAACATAAAGCATCAAATACTGTAAACTTTAATAATATTACAAAAAATATAATAAAAATCCACTGTTTTTTTTTTGGTTTTTTTTTCTAAAATAATTCACGGAATCATTGAAAAATGCAATGCCGGTCGGCACACTGTCAGCGTCGGTTGGAAGGGGCATAAAAAACTTTTTGTGGCGTTTATATACTTTCTGCTTCAAAATCAATCAATCATTTAAGAACGTATTATAGGCCTAGACATAATATACAACGAAACATAAAGCATCAAATACTGTAAGCTTTAATATTATATAACGAAAAATATAATTTGGCAGTATATTAATATTATTAACATTCTTTTTCTTTCTCTTCTTCAATATATGCATCGACACTGTAATATTAAAATAATAAAATCCGTTGGTTTGATTATCAACATATAAATTCGTTTGTTTCAAATAGATAAAATGAAATATATTATGAATCTTAAAACATTTATTAACTTACACAAACCTAATAAAATCCAATGTTTTGTTCGCAAACTCATCGCAGTATTAATTCCATTGAATTGCTTAAAACGACATTAATTAATTTGCAGTAAAATACCTGATAATACAACATGATTATTAACATATGATTGCATATATAATGTACATTCGTTTGTTTTAAATAGATAAAACGAAATAGCCATAACAATAAAACACGAAATTATGGATACTGTAGCAGCAATAGCTTTGCGCCTACTTGGTCTTCCAAACAAATATATCTCGGCCGAACTACTGTACACTGTACTGCATTGTGAATGCATCATCGGCGTTCCATACATATACACGCATTGTCGGCTGTTCTGGAGGGCGGCCGCTATAGGTAGCGGCCGATATGGGCCTAATTCATTGTAATCGAGCCATCTCCCGAGTAATTCCTACCGATATATAAAGCATTCACACGCATCTGTAAGGTAATGCCAAGGTCGTGTAAAATTTATTCAGGGTTTTTTCAATGAATCATTTTTTCCCCCTACTGCAATATAGACCTAGTTGAGAACCTGTCACAGATGGACTGTTGAACTCACCACCACAGTAGATTGTTGTTGCGTTGAAATTCCTGCGCATGCGCAGATCCATCCATGCTACATCTCGGAAGCTTTACCAGCCTCAGCGAGGCTGGTAAAGATTACCGAGATGTTCTGAGATTATACAAGGATATTACTAGTTTTAGGCTATGTTCACACACGGCGAAAGACTGGCATGGCTTACGCCAGGCGTAAGCTAATCAACGGATTAAAATTCCAAAGTGTTCACACAAATGCCGTTCGTTAAACTAGTAGTAATATAGGCCTATTGGGGAATAGTTTTCGGTTTTAAATAATGGGTTCTTAACTGTAGTAAAATTAACAGTGTATCATGAAAACTTTTAAATCTGTGATGTTTATTGGATTTTAAATGAACAATTTTACTTCTGATTTTTCAGCTAGCATTGAACAGTTGTTGGTGACACAATCAACAAATCATACATTATAACTAAGTAAAATGCAATAGAAAAAGAACCCCTTTACCATGGAAAGAGACTGGTCAATCCCTTGAAATGAGCTCAAAGCATTCAAGCATCACTGGCGTTAGCTCAGTGGCGTTAGCTAATCTGGGGTCTGCAGGTAGTGTTAATAACGCCAAGGACGTGGCGTAGTGAGTGGCCTTAACAACGCCACTGCCTAGTTCACACATAAAGGCGTACGCTACCCCAAGCTTAAGCCAGCCTTATGCCGTGTGTGTGAACATAGCCTAAGTTAGATACTGTATTATAGTCTTAGTACGTTGCCAAGTATAGCTCAATGCTGTCTCATGGTCACATGCTTCTCGATATGACCAAGGTGATATTAGTCCAAGTCAGGTGATGTCACTAGTAAAGATAACTATAGACCAATTGCTCTTGTGTGTGTCGCATCAAAAGTCTTTGAATTTCTTTTAATTGACCTTGCGGTTGACACTCTTTGTGCAGCGGGGTAACAAGTACTCATTTGAATTCTCTGTTTCTAATGGGGTCTGAGAGGGAAGCGTAATGTCACCGCTTCTATACAATGTATATGATTCTCTAAACGAAAAGCTTAATAATTGTGGTGTTGGATGTCAACGTGCAGATATGGTTTTTAATCACCTTAGCTATGCTGATGATATCGTATTACTATCTCCATCTTTATGTGGGCTTCAAAGGCTACTTAATGTGTGCGAAGCTCATGCTTCTACTCATGATATTTTATTTAATCTGTAAAAAGTCGATGTGTATGTATTTTTGTTCAAAGGCACGAAAACTCCAGGTGATCCCGTTACTACCCTATATGGCAAACGTTTAAATTATGTTAAGTTGTTTACATATTTAGGCCACTTACTTATAACTGATCTGAATGATGATTTTGATATATCACGACAATATAGGTCTCTATGTATAAGCGCAAATAGTCTCAGAATACGATTCTATAAGTTCACAGATCAAGTTAAATTCATTTTATTTAGGAGCTACTGTACGAATATGTAGGCATACTGTGTCAACCTATGGTCCAGCTACAAACACAAAAGCATAGATTCTTTAAGTTTGCTATAACAACGCACTAAGAATACTCCTAGGAAAATCAAGGTCGTGTAGAGTATATTATTACAAAATCAATGCATGGATTTATGTGCCGACTTTATTTATCGGAAAACAGTCTGATAAAGTCCACTGTTAATCATCTAATTGAAAATTCAAAAATGATACTAAAATGGAATTATTTATTATACATTAAGATGATTACTATTGAAACTTGTAAAATAGGCCAGACCTATTTTATTTTTGTGTTGTTGCATCTGCTAGTTTATGTAAGCCTGAGACAAATGCCTCAGTGTATACGTACATATTCTCCTCTATTTCAATCTCATTTGCTTTGTATTTGTTTTGCTATGGACATTGTCTGAAATAGAGAGAAATTGAATTACACGAGGTACTTTCACACGGGCCGTAAAATGTTACTTTTGGTTACATTTGGTAAGATTTTTGTATGTGTGAATCGGGTGCTATACCTACCCAAAAACGTGAAATTGTCCTGTTAATAGGGGGTTTTTTTGCTTGTTTTGCATATAACAGTGACAGAACATTGGTTATAATTATATTTTTATTGACACAAGAATCGTTTACAGTAGGCTCAGAATTAAAACTAATTTATAGCAATAATTTTCAATGCAAATACAATTAATTTATAAATATGAAATCAGCAGGAATTTAATCTGGTTTCATGATGCAATGTTAATGATCAAATATATGCTGTCCACGAATTTCAGAAAATAAGGGCTGATTTCCACTCAATGCAACTCTCAATATACAACAACCGATGTGTTATGTTTGTGTAAATAGTAGTACTGTAGTTATGATTTTGCGCGCCTATTTCCTAGTGATTTTCCACACAACTGCGAGTTGATTTTCATCTGGGCAATTGGCATGACTCAATCTTTCACTTGAATGAGTCACATGTCTAATGTGAAGGATTCAAAAAGTTATTCTATCGCTGTAGTGAGTGTTAGATCACCCTCTGTAAGCCGTCATGTAACCATAGCATTGTTTACTGTAATACATAATCTCTTGTTATAGTATAATAATAGAAAAAAATGTTCAAATATTAAATTAAATTTTAGCTACGTGTACCACTCATTTGCTTATCCCAAGGGCTAATGATGTAGTAATTCTTTTTTAAATTGTATAAAAATCATATTTTCACACATGTATAGTAATAATAGCA